CGTACGAAAACGTTGCGTTGTTGGTGCTGGTGCTAATATTGGCGTTAGTGTTAGTGCTGGTAATGGTATTGGTGCTGGTGCTGGGGCTGGTGTTGCTGTCGCTGCAGAGCACAAGCAGCAACAACGCAGGCGTTTACAGATACGATGAATCATCGTCAGGCAGCGTGAATTAATAAATCGCAGGTACGGAGGGGAGAAAACGAACGTGAGCGTGTACACGCTTCGCTTGATCCTACCTATCTACCTACCTACGTTCCGCGAGTCCTCCTCCCGTTACCCAACCCCTATTCGATAGTCGTCGGACGAGGGTGTCGTATTTGTGAGAGGTGAAGCGGCAGGGGGTGGAATAGGTCCTCGCGAATTCACCAATTTCGACCTCGTTAATGTCCACCCTCTATTTCTCTCTCTATCTCTCTCTCTCTCTCTCTCTCTCTCTCTCTCTCTTCTCTCTCTCTCTCTCTCTCTTTTTGTCGTCTCTTTTCCTCGTCTCCTGCCATCCTTTGACTCGTTGCTCCAACTGTAGATTAATATTTACAGTCTGTATATGCAAAATTAATTAGTTAACCGAAATGGATATTAACGTAAAGTATATATGTATCTACATAGTTAACGTTCGAAAGATTATCTCGAAATTATAATTATTTACCTAACTAAGATTACGAAATGTCGAATAGAAATATATTTAAACGTAAATAAAAAGATCAATCTTTATATTATATAAAATTTCAATAAACTTACGATCGTAATATATTTGATTGAAAAAAAGGTTTTATCATCATGATCAATATGCTAAAAAAATTTGTAATTGTATAAAGGAAATGTAAGTATACCTATGTAAAAATAAAATAAAAAGAAAAAAAAAAGGAAGAGAAAAAGAAGAAATATATATTAATTAAGTATAAAGAAACATTAATCTTTTTTAATATTTCAAAAAAGAATTTAGGTATACAAAAAAAGATCTCATAAAGTTTCGAACATAAATGGAAGAGAAAGATTTTACGATAATCGCTAACCTTTAATCTCTTCTATAATAATTACAACATCGCACTCGTAACGAAACCTTTTCTTCCTGCAAGAAGAGAACTAAATCCGTTTTTATTAACGCTAGCTCGCCTGTTATCACGTTTATTACACTTCTTATAAGAACGTCGATACTATAGATTACTTACGACGTGCTCTCGATACTCATTGAAAAATCGATTAACAAAATTAATTAGAGATAAGGATGGTATCGTACTAAAGAGAAAGAGAGAGAGAGAGAAAGAGAGAGTGAACACATTTAGCTCGGTTTTCATTAATTTAGATACGGATCGATTAATCTGTCCACTTATTCAAATTAACCGTGAAGGTAAAATTACACCTGTCAATACGATTAACACGTTAATTAATGTAATTGCCACGGTATTTTTTTTTTAACTACCGCGATAGAATTTTCATTATTATTCAATAAGCTGATAATGATAAATTATTGTGTCTTATAATTAAATGGGATTAGATTCTCATATCAATAATGTGTTTATTTCACTGATATTCACCAATTACTACATTGTTTTTAATTACTCTTGACAATCCGTTAAGTCAATTAAAAACTCTAAATTTTTTTTTTTTTACGAAAGTTGCAAAATATTACACGATATCTATAGTGTAATGATTACAATGCTTATTATGTTTTTAGTTAATTTTTTTTCACAAAATTGAAATGTTTGTAGAATATTATGTTCGTTTACTTTAAAATCAAAGGAATATATACGTGTGAACTTGTTATTAATATTTGATATAATAATTTATATGTACATATATTTGTAAATGCACATATAAATATTTTGTTTATCTATAATCTCATTTTGTTTTACTCGTTGGAGAAATAAAAATAATCAATAACAATTATTTTTTAGATAGCACATTTTTCATTTTAAATTATTATTTAGTTATATATTTATATTATTTAAAATTTTTGATCCGTTAGCATATTCGATTTATAATAATTAATTTGTAAATTTTGTAAATTGTAAATTGTAAATTGATGATCATGGGTGATCATCGTGTTAATCAATTTTTATTAATTTGAATCAATATTTGTTAATTCAAAAAAATAGTTGTCGAACGAATAGAAATTAAATTTAACAGTAAATTCTTCATAAATTTATGTAACTTTAAAATTATATACGTTCGCATTTTTTATTTTATTTTCACATGAAATAACGAACTTAATTGTTATTTCATATTCGAAGATTAATATTTGCTGTATGTATAGTTATATTAAGTGTAAGAGTTATACATTATATATAATATAAGAAAAAGTATATTTTTTCATTTAATATAATAATAGTTTCATTATTTTACAAATAGAAAAATTCTATTATTAGAACAATGAAATATTTTTTTTTTTTGCAAGACATAGAAATACAAATTAGATTTATAAACTGTTAAAATTAATTTGATGGAAGGGGGATATAAAAAGTCGAAAAAGGGGGAAAAATATTAACAAAAAATACATCCGAATTTGTTAGAGAAGAGATCCGATGGTAAAATCATTGTTCAAACGTCGAACGAATTGACTCAAATCGTAAATCGTGCGGCTGTGTTGCAAGAACAGGACGGCTTGCACGTACACGCGATTGATGGTTCGCGAACAGAACGAGCGTACGCAGGAAAATCGCAAGCGGGCCAATATTTACGAGCGTTCGCGAATTCATCGTAGAGCAGCAGCAGCAGCAGCAGCAGCAGCAGTAGCAGCAGCAGCAGCAGCAGCAGCAGCAGCAGCAGCAGCAGCAGCAGCAGCAGCAACAGCAGCAGCAGCAGCAATAGCAGCAGCACCAATAGCATCAGCAGTAGTAGCTCGACGAGGATACGGCCGATTTCGTGCTCGTTAACGGCGAAAGGGCGAACTCGTGTGGCCCTTTTGGCGTGTTGTAGGGACGTGCCGATATCGGAACGCGTCCCGCTAATTTCCACATCGACAAATTATACGACGCGACTAATGGGACACGCGCCAACATTACGGCTCGTACACACATAGAGAATATTCCGAGGAATACGATCGGTAGTCCCTTCCGTTCTAACTATATATGCGTATAAGAGAGAGAGAGAGAGAGAGAGAGAGAGAGAGAGAGAGAGAGAGAGAGAGAGAGAGAGAGAGAGAGAGTGTCATAGGATCGGGTTAATTAAGGGAAATCGATCGAGGACATTTGGTAAGGTATCCCTACAACCCTATACCCTCTCCTCATCCTCGATAACGCAACCCTGCCATGAGAAATATCATTGCATTGCCCGTAGAATTTATGATCCTGTCTGTAGGCTTGCGTTCGGTGATTATCTATGATCGCTAGCAGCTGCCTGTCTCGATTATTTTTCTCATTTTTCATTTTTTCTTCTTCTTCTTCTTCTTCTTATTCTTATTCTTTTCATTGACAGTGCACAAAGTTTCTAACCGATTGGAACGTAAGATGATATAGGATAAAGGATAATACGTTATTGGTAAAACGTAGAAAGAAATTCTTCAAAAGTCTTTCCCTTCTCTTTTTTCTTTTTCACTTAGGTTTTATTCGATTAAATTGTTCGATAGGTTTTAAATCGAAAGAAAGAGAAAAAGAGAAAGAGAGAGAGAGAGAGAGAGAGAGAGAGAGAGAAAAGAAAAAGATAAAATTCGTTACATGCCGAATCTCATAGTAGAAAATCGCATGATCGCGTTTCCCTCGATTCTTCCGTTTGAGAAAGTGCTACTCTAAAGAAGATCAAACGAATAAAAAATGATACTTATATATATATATATATATATATATATATATATATGTGTGTGTGTGTGTGTATGTGTGTGTGTGTATATACTTAACTAACGAACTTGTACAAAGTAGAAAGAATTGTGAGCCAGCCTCTCTCTTTCTCTCTTTCATCATCTCTCTTCCTCTTTCTTTCTCACGTTCCTCTCCATTTCCAACGATCTAATTACGGCTTCTCTTGAAGCACCCGTTCGACCACCACCCATCCAGACAACCACTATTGAGAGATCCCAATGGGGGATGTCGATACGGAATTCGATAAAACCTGGCTGACCTTCTCGTTCTCTTTTTATCGCGATCTTCAAACTAACGAACTACCTCGATCGTATAACGAGATCTTCTTTAACAATCGAAAAAGAGCTGTTCAGTTTTCGTACCTTTAATCCGAACTTTAGTTTCATTTAATCGGACCTTTGACACGTTAAAAAGTTATCAGATATAGAAAGCTTATGGACCTTTAGCTCGTATAGAAAAGTATAGTTGTCTTCTTTTTATTTCGTGAGATATAACGCGGGAAAATTTAAAATGTAAATCTATAAATAACGAAAGGAATAGTATTAATCAAAAAAAGGAAAAGTTTTTCTTTCTTTCTTTTTCCTTTTTTCTTTTTTTTTTTTTTTTTTTTTTTTCGTTTTCCGAGATTCGAAATCGAATTTGCATAGTTAGCTTCCTTTGTATATCTATTTCACTCTCGCGCTCACTATATCCGCGTGACTCCAACAGAATACCGTTTTTCTCTTCTGTCACGGTGGAAGATAGCAAAGTCTGGTCGAGATGCTGTTTACGTCGTTCGCAACAACCACGATCAGAGCAAACTCTCTTTCGACCGATAACACGTTCGATGATTTATGGTAACCGATAATAGGTCCATACTACGTTCAATCCCTGCGGGAACGCCGTCTCGGAAAGGCGATCGACTTTCCAGGAGATTCGACGGAGGCTTTCGACCGTATACGAATGAGATACACGTATGATCGAGATCCCTTCCTATTTTCTTTTTAGAGATTTGAGATAACTTTTGAAATTAATCCTTTGCTGGTATCTGACCACTGCTTCAAGACCTTTGAATATAAATATAAATATAAATATATATATATATATATATATATATATATATATATATATATAAATATCAATGAATATAAATGAGCGTATGAAAATTCTATGAAATATTGGCCAACAATTTTTAAAACAAAAAAACAAAATAATATTTGATTCCAGGTGGATTTCTTGGTGACATAGCACTGCCCAACATCAAGTACGAAACGGAATGGCGACAGCAAAAGTTGAATAAGTCGTACCTTGAGGAATTGGAAAAATACAGAGAGGAGGTATTAAAGGAAGGTCTTCAAGTCGAAGAGGAAGGTCTTACCGGTAAATGGATAATTTTTTTTTCATAGACTTTAATTATATCCGAAGAATTAATTATATTATATTTAATTATATCAATAAGAGATAAGATCAAATGGTAATCGTATTCTTTACAGAGATATTACAGTTCAAAAATGAGCACATGAACAATGAGGCTCATCGTGAGGAAGAAGAGAGCGTAGTCTCTCAAGGGAAACCTGAACCGATCATGGTGGATCGCAATCAGTACAGCATGGGCGGCGAATTCGAGGATGGATTTATCTTCAACGTTAGGAACGGTGATACTAATCCTGAAATAAAGGAGGAGGGCATTGAGATCAGGTAAATGATAATGTCTTTTTTTAATCCCTTTATCAATATCAATTGAGCATATTTATTGTTCATTAGATTAGAATCGACGACTCTTCCGGCGAAAAAGAGACACTTGGCTCATCGACAGAATTATTTAACGATAACCGAAACTTCAAATATTAGAGAAGGTAGGATCAAGCAAACGACATCGAAGATACCCGATGACATAGATTTTTCAATCGGTTCAACAACGGCAAAGACTAGAAATGCTCAAGAAGATAACATCGAAGAAATAAGAGGTTATACGTCTACGATTAGGCCGGAAACAACGACGCAAGATAGATCGAAACAACGTCATCGTCGTCATCATCGTAGAAGGTATGTTCACTTTAACGTTTCTAAACCACGTGAAAATTAATATCTTTCAATATGATTAATTTATCTTTAACTCGAAAATTTCGAAATAATAAACACGCTGGAACAGTTCATGTTGTTATATATATATATACAAAAAAAAAAAAGAAAATAAAAAACAGAAAAGAAGATAAATAAACAAGAAAAAAAAAATAAAAAACATAGTCAAGAAAGAAAGAACTTAAGCGAAAAAAAAACTCGACATTCTCTGACGTAAACTGCTCCAACAAATTTCGAACTTCAACCTGACGAGAATATCCGGAAGGAAGAAAGAGAGCGAGAGCGAGAGCGAGAGAGAGAGAGAGAGAGAGAGGGAAGAAGGAAGAGAGAAAGAGAGATCCGTAGTTGATAGTTGACTGAAGAGTTTGTCAAAGTTATGTCGAAGATACGCGCTCATCGTAAGTCCACGGAGGGAACTACCAGGGCGACTATCGTGTCAGAAGTTAAGTCCATTAGACGCGAGACGTAATAGATTTTACCGAATTATCAAAGTTAACCGCACTCAGCCTCCAACTCCGTACGTCTCTTGCAATCGGAGAAGCCACGGATCTTAATTACATCAAGCCAAGGATGCGGATCATTAATTTCTAGTTTATGTCGGCAACAAATTTTCTTTCTTGTTCGAATATATCCTGTCACACGCAGAGAGCCATTGCCCTTGTGCCTTTTCTTTTTCTTCTTTTTTTTTTTTTTTTTTTTTTTTTTTATACTCGTACGGTCGAACGATCGGAAAAAGCCGAACGATGAGGAGCCTACTCGAAATGCTTTTTTCGGAGATTTTAGGGAGAAAGACTGAAAGGAAGAAAGAAATAGAAAGGGAGAGGAAAAGAGAGAGAGAGAGAGAGAGAGAGAGAGAGAGAGAGAGAGAGAGAAAGGAAGGGAGTGCAGAGAACGGATTTGTCGTTAATTTTTTGGCGTACCTAACCCAATTCCAGTGGGAGCGATTAAATCGAGCACGTGACTACACTCGTGGCAAGTTCGTTCTCGTAGACATAGATATACATACACACACGAGCAACGTACATGTATATATATATATATATATTTATATACTATATATATATATATACTCTAAATGTATATATACTTGCTCAGTCACCCTCTTCCAATCCACCCTCTTCCTCTTACCACCCGTCTTCCCGGTGGTAGAGCCAACCGGCGATGCCAATAACAATGGCCGTCATCGTAAAGCTGGAAAATGGGGTCCGATACTGCCGTCCGAGCATTTTCAGCCCTCGAACTGCCAATAACCTGTCAGCATCGGCAACGCTCCACCCCCGATCAGGTATGTCGATCCTATATCTACTACTCTCCCTCTCTCTCTCTCTCTCTCTCTCACACACGCAGCTCTCTATGTTTCTCATCGACTGGATTTAACGTCGAACACCTGCTCGGTTCCTCTTTTTCCGCTTTTGACACGGCCATTGACTCGCATTTCATCCACTAAATGAAAAAAGAATTCTTATTATTGTCATACTCTCTATTTTTTTTTTATAATAATTTTTATAACATTACACCTATCGATGAGAATGACAAGATATATTGCGTATGTATCTATTTATACGTGCGTTTGTTTGTATACAAAACGAGAAGTTACATAAATGTTCCTGGACCATCAACAGCCCCTAACAAATAACATATAGAGAGAGACAGAGAGAGACAGAGAGAGACAGAGAGAGAGAAAGAGAGAGAGAGAGAAAGAGGAAGAAAACGAGGAAGAGAGAGAGAGAGAGAGAGGAAGAGAGAGGTGGAAACCCAAAAGGGATACGCGCGAGTGGATAGACGTAACGTATCTCTCTCGTAGTAGGTAGACGCATTTATGTGGGTTTCTCTTCTGTACGTGTTCATCGTCGACGGGTTCACGAAAGCGCCTGTTTACGGCCTGTATCCAACCCCGTGAAACACGATCACGTAGTGATTCTCCAATGAAGCTCCCGAAGAGAATTCCGAAGAGGATCAGACTGTCAGGCTACCGACTCTCCCTTTTGTCGTTGATAAATCGTGAGATAACGAAATTGCGGTAACGAGCGCGAAAGTTATACGATGCTTACTATCATTAGGATCACGTGGAGGATTATCGAATAATTATGAAAGAAGATACGTAGGAAATATAAGAGAAGAATAATTGGTATAAAAAGGAAAGAAGAAAAAGAAAAAGGTGAAATAAGGAAGAGGAAAAGAATAAACTGATGGAATCGTAAAGAATTAATTAAATGTGAATTAAAAACTTTCTTTTTTATTTTTTTCTTTTTTTTTTTTTTTTTTTTTTACTATCCGAATGAATATTCTTTATTTTTATCTTCTGTTTTTTTTTTCTCTTTTTTTTTTAATTTCTTCAATTATTACCTCGATTACTTATACAGATATTAATTCGATAATAGGATTGGAGAATGATCTATGTATCTTTTATCTAAAGGGGGAAAAAGAAAAGAAGAAAAAAAAAAAAGGAAAAAAGAAAAAGAAATTCGAATTATCGAATATAATTTGTCTTCACGGAACTTTTTTTGTACTTGAACATGATTATAAATCTTGCCGAGTAATCGGCAAGGAAGTTTCACACGTTTAAAGGAGGATCGAAGGAAGGATTGGGAGAGAAGAGAACGCGTTCTCCCTTTATCGAGTGAGTTCCAGCTGTCGACGGCAAGACCCTTCTTAAAGCAAGGTCATCTCTCAAGGTCCGTCTCGAAAGTGCCGCCGGCCTGTTCGAGGTATCGAATTAAAGTACAGACTAAGTCACATTAATCTTACCAGGGGAACAATCTCATCGGGGTTTAAGCGTTACTCACTCTTTCTATCTTTCTCTTTCTTTCTTTCTCTCTCTCTCTCTCTTTCTCTCTCTCTTTCTCTCTCTATCTCTATCTATCTCTATCTTTTTCTCTTTCAAAAGTGTCAAGGGTGAGAAGACTCGTCGACGAAGGTGTTCGTACTACCGAGGTAACTTCATCCTATCGATTTCTGTATCTTTCCTACTTCTACTTTTACACCCTTCCTTAGTTCGTCTCTCTCTTTCTCTCTCTCTCTCTCTCTCTCTCTCTCTCTCTTTTCTCTCTCTTTTCGCTCTCTGACTCTCTTTTTTTATTTAACTCTCCGTCTTTCGAGAAGATAGAGAAAAAGAAAAGTGCAAGAAAACGAAAGACGAGTGATTTATCGAGATCTCACCGAGAGAAATTTCGTATTCAGCGAATAGCATGTTCCTCCATTCAACCACGGATAGGCCTTCGTAACTCATCGTACTTCTCTCTACGTATTCCTTTTCGTTCGATTTTTGATATCGGCCAGTCGTAGAAAAAGGAAATAGAAAACAGGCAACCACCAACGTCATCGGTCTTTGTCAGGTTTTTTTTCTTACTTTTCTTTTTTTTTCCTCCCCCTCGAAAAATCTGCTGACTAGGGATGAATTTTTCTTTTTCATTTTTCGTAGAGAAAATCAAAACGATTGATGAAGGACTGTTTTAAAATTTACATTCCCTTACGATCGATTCGTTACATACATATAAATACATACATATACATACACACACACACACGCGCGCGCGCGCGCACATACACACATACGTATATATCTACGTACGCGTACGAAAGGTCTATAGAGCTTTTCTTTTTCATTGGCTTTAGAAATTCTATAAAAATTCAATATTCATTTCGATTTGCTTTATGCCATCCTCAAGTACAATTATACATGGAAATGTTAAAAAATTCAATTCTCCCATTGAGAAGGAATAGTATCCACCGAGGACATTGGCACGATTCCAATTACCACAATGCCTCGTTGATTCTCGTTAGAATATTACTCCATTGTTTGCCACGCTACACCGTAACGTTCCATTGTTCTAATAAAAAAAAGAAATTTAAAAAAAACAAAAAAAAAGAAAAAAAAACACATTTAATGGACAACCAGTTCGCACTATATATCTCACCCTTCTCCCCTCTTTCTCTCTCTCTCTCTCTCTCTTCTATCTCACTGTTACCAATGTCCGACGTTCCTGAAATATTCGCTATTCATCTCACCCAAGTTATATGTATATACATATCTATGTACATTCATATACCTATATTATAGGTATAGTCAGGCGATGCTGTCAGCAGCAAGGCTACACGAGAGATCCGATATTCCTATTTACAGATTCATTGTTTGACGATAGCGCTATATCTCCTGCGATTTAAACATCCCGCGCGAAAGCGGAACAGAAACGACGGAATATCGGGAGTTATTAATCGCCGGGAATAATCGTCTCGTTTATTGTCGCCTTCCAAACGACTCTACGTTACTACGACTACTTTTTTCGCTTGTTTCTTTTTTTTTCCTCTCTTTCTTTCTATTTTCCTTCCTCCCTTTTTTTCTTCTCGTTGATGGATAGATTTTTCAATTTTTTCTCCCTTCCTTTTTTTCATTTTTCTCTTCTTGTTCCTTCCTTTTTTTTCATTTTTTCTTCTTTTGTTTTTTTCCCCTTTCTTTCTTTTCTTTTTTCTTTATTTTTTTTTTTTTTTTTTGTCGCTCTTATCGTACTGCTCCTCGCACGTATGTATGTACGTATGACGATCACGCGAAGAAAAGAAGAAAGAAAAAGAGTAAAAAAAGAAAAGGAGAAAATGAAAAAAAATTGGAGCAACGCGAGCGTTCTCTCTTCACGCGTTTTCCGTCGCCCACGTGGCTGGGGATAAAAAAAAAAAGAGTAAAGAGAGGAAAAGAAAAAGAAAAAAAAACAAAAAAAAAAGAAGAGAAAAGGAAAAAAAAGAAGAAGAAGAGAAAAAAGATTCTACTTTTCTCACGCATTTTTTCGCGCGTAAATCGTACCGACTACGAGTGCCAAGCGTTCCTTTTCGTATTTTTGTTGTCCACATTCTTCTTCCTTTTTTCTTTCTTCTCCTTTTATTCTAATCCGCAAGAACGTCCACACGGATACGCGAACGCGTATGAAACCATTTTCTTTCAACGAAAACGGTGTAAGCTCCGCCGTTGGAGGAAAAAAAAAGAATTAAAAGAAAAAAAAGCAAAGACAAAAGAAACAACAACAAAATAAAAAAATAAAAAGAAAGAAAAAAAATCACAAAAGGGTGAAAACAAAAATTCATAAATTATTAAATTCATTCATGAAAATTATAAACGAAACTCATTACTTATAAACGAAACTCATGTTTATCCATGAATCAATTCGTTTGATGAAAAATCATCGATCAATTGTTGTTTTTTTAAAAATAAAAAAAGGAACAAGAAAAGAGAAGAAAATAGAAAGAACAAGGGGAAAAAAGAAAAGGAAAAGAAAAGAAAGAGGGAAGAAAGAAAAAGAAAAAAAAATATCAATAAAAAATAATACCGATAAAAATCATTTAAATTGTTTACGAGGATATTCTTTACGAGTTTGTCCTATCGATTAATGTTCTCATTTAAGACGACATTGTGAACGCTCCCTTAACGAAACTCGTGAGAGTGCAGCTCGTTAATTAATTGTAATGCCGTACCGATTCAGAAACTCGCAGGCTGACTGCCGGCGCACTGTCGCTCGAGGAGACCCAGAGGGGTTGGAAGAGAGAGAGAGAGAGATAGAGAGAGAGAAAGAGAGAGAGAGAAAGTAAAAGGGAGGTTAACTCCCTCTCTCTTTCCCTCTCTTCCTCCCTCTCTCTCTCTCTCTCTCTCTCTCGCTCTTTCGTTCTCCTATCGGACGGGGTGGCTGCGAGAGAATTACGCTCACCCGGTAATTAGTACTAATAAACGAGGGATAGGCACTGGCACTGCTGCTACTGCCATCGCCGTACGCGCGAGAGCTACGCACTTTAGTCCAATGTTTACGCGAGGGGAGAGAATTATTTTTCAAAGTGTCGACTAGGCACCCCCTTGGCTTCAACCACCACCAGCACGATTATCCTCTATTTTTTATTTCTTTCCGCGTATTCTTTTTTTGCATTCTTTCTTTCTTTCTTTCTTTCTTTCTTTCTTTCTTTCTTTCTTTCTTTCTTTCTTTCTCATTTTCTTTTACTTTTTATATTTTTCTCTGGCATTTCTTTTTACAATAAATTGAACAAATTAATCTAAAGGATAGTTAAATTTTTATCTAATTTATTCAATATAATTTTATCTAAAAATTTGTTCTCCTTTCCAATTCAGACGTTATTCTTACGAATCTCCCCATGGCCATCTCGCTGAATATTTATTTAGGAGAAATTTATTGTATATAATTTTGTCGATAATTAAACAAAGATATTCTATCTAATTTAATATATTTGATATATTTCGATTGCTTTTGATAATACCGAAATATATCTCAGATCTCTAAATTGTTTTAGAATATAAATAAATATATATATTGATATTGTAAAATTATATGTATACATGAAAAATATTAAACATATTAAGATGTTAAATTAATTCATTAATCGTATTTCTTAATTTTTAGAAATAGATAGATAGATAGATAGATAGATAGATAGATAGATAGATAGATAGATTTTTCTCTCAACAGAGAGAGAGAGAGAGAGAGAGAGAGAGAGACGAATTTCTCTTGAAAAATTTCTATGAAAGAAAATTAATTGCATTGAAAAAAAAAAAAGAAAAAAAAAAAGAAAAAAAGATTGAAGGATAGAATGAAATGCAGGCTACATTGAATCTAGGACAGTAATGATCACCAAGAAGAGAATAATCAAAAAAGAAGAAAAAAAAAGAGAAATGGAAAGATGATAGTTACTTGATAATTTTACTTTCAATCACCGCGGCTTCTTTTTTATTTGTATCTTTCAAATGTACATCGACACTGACTGGATCCTTTCGACTCGTTTCTTCGCCTATCTACTTTTCGAATTTATTCCCCGGTAGAGCCATGAAAAGCGCATTTGCCGCGATAGCAATTTCATTCCCTCTTTCATCCCTACCCCTAAGGCTCGTCGAAGAATCGTAAAAAACTACGGAACCACGACTACGGACCACGTTCGATTCGTACATTAAGTCTCGCTTTGTTGTTAGCTCTTGCGCAAGAGGAAATAAAAAAAAAAAAAGAAGAAGAAAAAAAAAAAGAAAATATCTTTCCGCAGGATGCTGAGAAGCGAAACCTCGTATCATTTTTTTCGTTTTTTTTTTTTTTTTTTTCTTTCTTTCCTTCATTCCTTCATCCATTTTTGTGGAAGACTCAATATTTTATCGAAACAACTAACGATTAATTCGCATTTCACGATTCAAACGTTTAATCAAATTCCCCTTTCGATTCAGTCATTTTCCTTTCATTTTCCTAAGTATTATTTTCTAGCTTGAGAACTTTCACCGATTAGATTCACGACTTCCTTCATTATTGTCGATGAAACAGAAGGATGGGGAAAGGCAAATAAATCCGCCTTGAACAGAGAATGTGCTATAAAGAATGAAATATATATTTCTCGCAGGTGCGTTTACAATTTACGTACTAATTTGTATCTTTACTCGTTTAATTTCATTAAACGATTGTGCTGGTGAAAATTAACTGAATGATATACGTTCTAACTACATATATATTTTTTTAATGTATAATTTAATATATATATATATATATATATATATATATATATATATACATATATAATTGAAAAAAAATATATACATATGCTTGATATACATATGCATACGTATAAATAATCTAAATTATTTACATATTATATACATATGTAATATGACTTAGGTCATTTTCATAATCAAGAAGAAAAATGGTCGATAATCAAAGATAATTGAATTTAATTGACCTAGTAACACCATTGATCTTTAATTTATTTTTTTTTTCTTCTTCTTCTTCTTCCTTCAAACAATCGATAAGAGGAAGAAATTCATAGGAGAGATAAAACTGCAATAGATAGAAATGGTAACGATCAAGGTAGTCATAAATTTGCGATTCTTTCGTACAAAATAAGCGAACAATATCCTTGTCATTTTCCAGAGGCTCTCGACGGCGAAATCACCGAAGGAAAATTGTCCCTTTGCCCCGGGACACGGCGAATGATGTCTCGGACGAGGTCGTCTCGCTTCACGATAGGCGACTACGGTCCATTGAGTTTTACGACATGGACCACAAACCGAAATATCTTGCGAACAATGAGCGAGGTACAGAATCACTAGTCCACAATTTTCCAACGAGAAATCGAAGAGCCGCAACTGCAAGAAAGGAACGTGTCTGGGATCATGGTGTTATACCTTACGAGATCGATGGTAACTTTTCCGGAGCTCACAAGGCACTTTTCAAGCAAGCCATGAGACATTGGGAAAACTTTACTTGCGTCAAGTTCGTCGAGAGAGTACCAAGAGAACATCCTAATTATATTCTCTTCACGGAAAGACCCTGTGGGTGAGTTCTTACCTACCATCTCTGTGCATGATTTTATATAGCGATCATAAAATCATTTAAAAGAAAAAGAAAAAAATTAATTAATATTTTTCAATAAAATAGATTGGATTTAGAGATAAGGAAGAAAAAAAAAAAAAAGTAAAGAAAAAAGAAAAAAGAAGAAGAAAAGAAGGGGAATATTTATATTTAAAATAATTACAACGATTAAGAAAATATAGATGTACTTTCTATATTTTGTATCACGTTCAGATTTTCCATTCTCACGTGCTCATACATATTCTAAGATTAATGTATGGGATTAAAATCGTTCGATAGAATAATGAATATTTAAATATAATGTTAGATCCAACGATTGAAAGAAAGATATTTTTATTTAAAATAGAATAGAACTAAATTATACGTATACCGTATTTTTTATTTTTTGCAGTTTACATTCTCATATATTCACGTATATTATAAAACTTAAAATAAAGTAATAAGAACACTTGATATAATAATAAATATTTCAATAAAATATTAAGTAAAACGATTAAGAGAAGAGATTAAATTTTTATATAAAATAAAACATATAGACAAGGTCTAGGTATGTTTATATATTATGTATTTTTCATATTTAACATTCTCACGTATTCACATACATATATCATTAGATTTACGTGAAGTTTAAAATATTGGAGTCATTTGAAAAATTTGTGATTACTTTCTTTCTCTTTTTTATGTTTTTAATACACAAATTCAATTCTAAAAATGGGACACATCTTAAACATAAAAAATAATAAAAATAATCGCAAATGGTCTTAAAAAAAATCTGCAAGTATGTGCATCGTCTTTTATATGTTTCGCATTCTCATATATTCACAAACGTTATCATATGATTTGATTATAAACCGATAAAGAACATTAGTTATACGCGCAAATCTATTTCCGATAATACATTCCTTTGAATTATTTTCTTTGTATTTCTTTCCTATGCCATCTCTAGATGCTGTTCCTTCGTCGGGAAAAGAGGTAACGGACCGCAAGCAATCAGTATCGGAAAAAACTGTGACAAGTTTGGTATAGTCGTTCATGAACTGGGCCACGTCGTTGGCTTCTGGCACGAACACACCAGACCGGATCGAGATCGACACGTACAAATCATTCGCGACAACATCATGAGTGGTGAGTAAGTGGAACCTTCCAGAGGGTGAGCTTTCAATTTCGTCCAAAGCCGATAGAGCCGCCCTGTCTAATTAACACGATTATTTGCAAAAGCGCTCGTAGCGTATCGCAATTATATGATGGAGTCCATTGGCTCGTCCTGATTCTAAACGGAAGGAGAGGTCAAAGCTTGAGAGAGAGAGAGAGAGAGAGAGAGAGAGAAAGGTGTAAAATTTAATTTCGATCGGATCAGATTAGGCTGAGCGTGTTCCATTTTTTCCCAATTTCTCCGTAATAGCTATTTCGTTCGGCCGCCGTAGAAAGAATTATACTCACTTTTCACGATCTAGCGAGCTAAAATTAACGATGACGATAAATTTTTAAAATGCATATATACATATATGTATATATGTATATATACATGCATATATACGCAAATGATTCATCATCGAGACATTTGGAAAATCATTACTTCAAGTTACATTCGAATTTCCCGCTATTCTCCTCATACTCATTGATGGGACATTCGAATAGCTAAACGCACTATGTTTGGTGAACGTGCAACCGGATTTATCCAAGCGTAGATATACATCGTACGTGACTGGAGCAACGTTTAAGCGAGGAAAGATGTCCCGAGAGCTGAAGTGGAGAGAAGGGATCACTAACAATGGGATCGAGTTTGCCTTCGTAGCAAATGACTTTGCGCGGTAGATAAATGGGCCAATTTGTGGCAAGGCACATGGCAAATCTCGGTAATCCTTAACAACGTAGAAGCTGGAATGGTAGGGAATATTGTAATATTTGCTTGCAAGTTGGATAACGCACCGATCGTCCCTCGATTAATGTTACGATAGTGGAAGGTTAAACATGGCTGTGTAAGTTTGATCGAACCATCGCCGTTATTATTTCAGAGACAGAAATCGGTTTACTGTATAAACGTATGAGACCTTTATCTTTATGTTTGCGTTAATATTCGTTCACTTTTGCCTAATCGAAACATGAATCACATATTCTATGTATATCTGGAAACAAATGCCTATTAAACATTTTCAGGTCAGGAATATAACTTTAATAAATTGACGGATGAAGAAGTGAACTCGTTGGGTCTGCCATACGATTACGATTCTATCATGCATTACGCCAAGAATACATTCTCCAAGGGCATTTATTTGGACACGATTTTACCTATAGAGAATCACGGAAAGAAACGGCCTGAGATCGGCCAAAGGATACGGCTAAGTGAGGGTGATATCGCTCAAACGAATCTTCTTTACAAATGCTACAGTAAGAATACTTGGATTGATCGTTCAAACTGATTACACAATGAGAGGATATTAATAACAATTTTTTTTTCTTTTTTATCAATCGACTAGAATGTGGTAGAACTTTTCAAGAAAATAGTGGTAGCTTTGGTTCACCAACTCACCCTAACAGTTCTCCAGCGATTGATGGAGAACGGTGCGAGTGGAGGATCACTGCTACCCACGGAGAAAGAATTGTCCTGAATATAACGTCCTTGGATATCTTCAAAAGCGATTATTGCCGTAGCGATTATCTCGAAATTCGTGATGGATATTGGTACAAAAGTCATGTACTCGGTAGGTATAATTTTCTCATCTGATCGTTTGAAATTAATCGTTAATCGTTCGACAAAAAACACATGGTAATATACAAGAAATATAAATTGCTTTTCACGTCGCGATTCGATTTGCAATAACCTTCCAATTTCCCTGATTCGTATCAATTAACTCATGGAATTCAATTTCGTAATGAAAATTAAAGTTTTCTCTTTCTCCCGTCATTAACTATAATTAAAGTGCTATATCGCGGAATCATTCGTCGATATAATAAAGTGTATAATCCATGAAAAGTATCCCTTTGATCTCAGAAATACTAACGTTTATACGATTGGTAGGTCGTTTTTGCGGGAGTGGCAAAATCCATGAGCCAGTGGTATCTACCGGAAGTCGTATGCTCGTAACTTATGTTACTTCCGAACGTCAAAGCGGGCATCGTGGTTTTACGGCGAGTTACGAAGCAGTCTGCGGTGGTGATGTCGAATTGGATGGCGTTGGTCATTTGGAGTCACCTAATTATCCTGAAGAGTATCAGTCAAGTAAAGAATGCGTTTGGAAACTTTCCGTACCACAGGATTATCAGGTCGCTTTGAAATTTCAATCGTTCGAGATTGAAAATCACGACAATTGCGTCTATGACTATGTCGAAATACGCGATGGTCACAATGCTGATTCCCCTTTGATCGGAGTCTATTGTGGCTATAAGATACCACCTGACATCAAATCTACTGGGAATAAATTGCTTGTTAAATTTGTTAGCGATGGATCCGTACAAAAAGCTGGATTCTCGGCAACTTTCATGAAAGGTACGTTTTCATTAATATCGTCGATAGTTTAATAAAATAAATTGTTTGATAAGTGTTACGAAAAGTCATAATTTTTTTTTTGTTTTATTTTTTTTTTTTTCTTTTTATTAGAATTCGATGAGTGTGAGTTGACCAATCATGGATGCGAACATGACTGTATAAATACTCTTGGTGGATTCGAGTGCTCTTGTAAAATCGGATACGAATTGCATTCTGATGGGAAACATTGTGAAGGTGAGTCCGTTATTGATCTTCATAATTTTTCTGTTGAGATTAAATATTGAAATTTATTGAAACCTTTCAGATGCATGCGGTGGTATTTTCGACGATAGCAATGGCACTATTACCAGTCCCTCTTTCCCAGAAACTTATCCAGGAAATAAAAATTGTATTTGGGAGATTATAGCACCACCACAATATCGTATCACTTTGAACTTCACTCATTTCGATCTCGAAGGCAATAATGCCTATCAGCAAGAATGCGAATATGATTCTCTCGAAATAGCTAGCAAACTTGGTGACGATATTCTCAGAAAGCATGGAATTTTCTGTGGTGTTAGGTTACCACCAATGATCACATCGGAAGGCAACTCTATGAGGATCGTATTCACGTCAGATAACAGGTTGAACGATCGACGAATAGATTTCAAATATCATTTTTTTCCAATACATCGAAACTTTTATTGCTCGTAAACATTTTCAGTGTGCAGAAGACAGGCTTCGCCGCAGTCTTTTTCACCGACATGGATGAATGCGCGAATAACAATGGTGGTTGTCAGCACGAGTGTAAGAATACGATAGGCTCCTATCAGTGTTCCTGCCACAATGGCTTTACACTTCATGAAAATGGCCACGATTGTAAAGAGGGTGGCTGCAAGTACGAGATTACGGCGCCCGTAGGCACCATTACGTCGCCCAATTTTCCTGAGTATTATCCTGGCCGGAAGGACTGTGTTTGGCACTTCACTACCAAGCCGGGACATCGTATCAAACTGGTCGGTTTACATTTTTATGACTTTCAAGGGACACAGATCAGGAAAAAGATAGCTGTAAATGTTCAAAGAATTTCGATGGTTTCTATTTAAATGAACTTTATATTCACGTAGGTATTCAAAGTATTTGAGATGGAGTCCCATCAAGAATGTGCTTACGATCACATCGCCATTTACGATGGGGATTCACCAGAAAGTCACACATTAGGTCGCTTCTGCGGTACTAAGGAGCCTCATCCAATTTCAGCAACTGGTAATCAGATGTACATGATCTTTAAGAGTGATGCTTCCGTCCAAAGAAAAGGTTTCCAAGCAATACACAGTACTGGTAAGTTAACAGTCGTTATTCAGGTAGTTTCTTCTTTTTCAACATTCGAAAGTCATTCTATTTCTTTCAGCCTGCGGAGGATATCTAATGGCAACGGATAAGGTAAAACATCTGTACTCGCACGTCAGATACGGATATAGTAATTACGATCACGGGACTGATTGTGATTGGACTATCGAAGCACCTATCGGCAAGAATGTTCACCTGTCTTTCTTCTCCTTCCAATTGGAGTATCAAAGTGAATGTGGTTACGATTTCGTTGAGATATTTTCCGGTTTGGATGCATCCAATCCATCCTTTGGTCGACTCTGTGGCAACTTGGTATATATAATATATGTATACTTTCTTTCATTTCCATTAGTTTTAATTAGTTTTAATTAAAATAAAAAATCATATTTGAACTAACAGCTGATGGCTTTGTTTCAGAACAAAACTGATTACGTATCGACGAGCGAGGCACTTCTCGTACGATTCCGAACGGACGACACGATATCGTTCAAAGGCTTTGTAGCTATTTTCGTTGCGGTAGATCGGCAAGATAGCGATGAGAGTCAGGGCGGTGAGGACGATGAGGATAATGAAAATCTCTGATCCGTCGCCGGCCTCGCCAATCGATTGGGTTATGGCTTTTGAAAAGTATTGCCTATAAACCCTGCGATCGATCCTACCAAACGAATCATTGAATCGTTTGCTCGTTGGATCTCGTTCGATCGTCGAGGTCTGGACACCGGGAGACGCTCTCTCTTTCTATTCTTATTATTTGTTTTTTTTTCTTTCTTTTTTTTTTTTTTATATCTTTCTTCCGACGATTTTTTTTACATAGATAAAACACAACGTGTTCCCTCGCTAAAGTCAAACCTTACTCCGTTTAGAAACTTAGGTATTCTTTTGCGAGGATGATAAACTTAATCGAATGTGTCCCAGTATTTGGTTACTCGAAAGTCGATAAAAAGGATATCGATATTATCAACTCGATCAGTAAAAATGATCTTTGGAGTAATCCAAACGCATATCGCCTGCCAAAAGTTTCGATCTTGTTCTAAGAAAATATTCAAATCGTCCAAAATAATGCGTGTGTGTGTATATAGAATATTACATACGGCAATTTTTCTCTTTCTTTCCTTTTTTTTTTCTCTCTCTCTCTTTTTTTCTTTTTCTTCGACAAATTATTCCAACGAGATTTATGGCTCTCATATTATTATACATATTTAATAGACACATATCGAGTACTATCTTAAAAACTTATGATTGTAATAAGAAGAAAAAAAGAAAAAAAAAGAAAAAAAAAAAGAAAAAAAAAAAAAGAAATGAAAAGGAAAGAAAATGTCGAATGATAGAAATAGAAAAAGTTGTTTAAAGATTTCGATACTCGAACTTACGAATATCAGAACGTTCAATCTGAAAGTTTGAATACGAAAAACAACGGAAAGATGTAAAGTAACGAATGGCCAAACTGCCATTGATTATACTTAACTTATATTGTCATTGACTAGTGTTCGCGCGATCCCTTTTCGCGACGAAACGATATAATTCTCCTTAATATAATATATATATATATATATATATATATATATATATATATATATGTGACTTTCAATTTCGGCCTATTATACGGCCGATCAACGTGCCATGTATATTTAATTATAAATCACGTTACTCTGAATATTAACTAATTCCTTGTCCCAAAGTATACAAAGTCCTTTACGAGTCCAGGACTTGGAGAACAATTTTCGAAGATGACGATAATCCTTTAACGATCTTCGAAATAATTTTCGACTGTTTCCCTCTGTCTATCTTTCTCTCGATAACTTTTCACCACTGCCTCGAGATCGTGACAACAATCGATTCGAGATATCCTTTCGTATACGACGACTCGACGAACATATGACTGCCGAAAGTAATTCGTTTCTTTCTCCTTCTTTTTATTATTTTTTTTTAATAAATTTTAAAAGGTTAAAAAGCACGCATTTCGAAGGTATTAGTTTCTTTTTTTTTTTAACACGTCCGTCGTATACCAAAGGACTAAATATAATAATTTTATTCTGTACAATATAGATGTCATTTTATGGAAATAATTCACGTACGAACCGTCATAAAAAGGAAAAAGAAAAGAAAGAAAAAAGAAAAAAAAAAAAAAAAAAGAAAAATTGCGATTGATTATTAACGACTAACGATGAAAAATTTTTAATCGGTCATCGTATGTTATATTATATGTATCCTTAAAAATACGCTGAACGTTCGTTGTAAATAATAATGTTTAATCTTAGAGACACGCCGCGACGTTTTATAGATGGTTTTTAGATTCTCAATATTCTTATCCCGTTACGGACAGCCAAGGAAATAAATTTATCTTAATTAACGTTAGAACAAAAGAATAACAGTGTTACAACGGCGATAAAAGATAAAAAAAAAAACAAAACAAGAAAAAAAGAACAAAAAAATAAAAAACAAATAACAAATAACAAGCACATAACATTTAAGCCTACGTACACACAATTACTCCGTCATTCGGACGGTACACCCTATTAAAATCTTAATTCTTCGTATGTATATTTAGTAATTATTTGTTTATTTATAAAAAAAAAAAAAAAAAAAGAAAAGGGAAAAAGACTGGCGCTAAAAAAGAACAAGGACGAAGCAACCTATTAAAAATTGGATTTTAGATTCCGTCGATCGTTTATGTAAATAGTACACTGCCTTCTATTCCGTATCCTTCCCAAAGATAATATCCTTATTATTATCATTTTTAACGCCAAGGTATATATACATATATATATATATATATATATATATATATATATATATATATGTGTATATCTTTATCTTTAGTAATAAAGATACTTATCTCTTCGACTGAGTCAAAACTCTCGAGATTACATTTGGAAATATTATTGCGTACGTAGAGTTTAGAATCTAGATTTATCCGCGCCAGTATATGAGTTAAGAATTAATATATATATATATATATATATATATATATATATATATATACGTATGTATATGTATATATATTTATATACAAATATAAATATATATACATGTATGTGTGTGCGTACACGCATATAAAAAAAAAATCTGTCCTTCGAAAGTTAACATTGCGTATAGTTCATAAAGAGATGATCATGAATGTACGTAGAATTTATTGCAAGATATAATATAAGAGAAATTGGTCGCATCGAGTTCCTTTTTTGTAAATTATATGTGATTTCGCTCTCAGAAGACAAAAAAAAAAAAAAGAAAGAAAACAGAAAGAAAAGAAACAAAAAAGAAAACAAAAAAAAAGACAGAATAAACGTTGCAAGTATTGTATCTCTTATCTTGATCATATATTATATATGTATATGTATGTATGTGTATATGCATTTTATGAATACGAGTTAACGATTACAATTTTATGTAACACTCGTTATCACAGGTCGACTTATCGCACTTTTATCACCCAACAAACTTATCACTTTTATTTTGAAACATTTCTCGAATAAAACGATCAACGAGTTTGCCCTTT